AATAAAAAAAAAAAAAAAAAACTAAATAAATAAGACATGCGGCAAGGAGTTTCTACATTTCATCCTAGGTAAGATTTACAAGCTGCTGTCATAGCGAAAGCAAAAATAAATAAATAAATAAATTAATAAATAAATAAATAAAAAATCACTTGATTCAGTCTTTAACACCGTTTTCATAAATCCAGACATATTTCAAGGGAACAAGACTGGATGACCCAGCAAGGTCGAAAAACGAGCGTGTCTAATTTCTGTCGATATTTCTGAAGCATCTGCAGTGAAACTAGGGCATTCCCTGATCAGTTTCGGACATTCTGCGCCAATATATGTCAGAATTTATTAAAACGGTGTTTTTGGAAAATCGGTCAGATAAATATATGTTCTTAAAGAAAGGACCCTTACCTTTCCATGTAGACAATGTAAAACACAGTGCAAATCAAACCATTTCACGTTGGATCTCATCAACTTTTGGAAAAACAACAACCCGGTTGCTTTTAGTTTTTCTATCTGCTTATTTGCACACAGAGTCTTGCATTCTTCTAAATAGCTTCCCAGGCGTTTCCGCTGTTTCTCTCCTGGTGACTTCAAAAGATATGAAATTGCTATCTGAATGAAGTCAATTAAATACGTCGAAGTGAATGTCTCAAATTGACTTTTCATGCCTGTATGGTTGAAAAGACCTTTCAATTTTTTGAACTTTCTGACATCATTCTTTAGGTCTTTCTTGGTGTCTTTTGCTCGAATCTGGTGAATTATTAACTCTGAGAGAAAGCGGCCGTACACAGCCAGTCTGAGCAGTCGTGGTGTATTTGCCTCCTCCCTGAACACTCCATCTTCGGAAACGATGGATGATCGCAGAATTCTTTCCGCTTTCAGCGAATTTTGCTTACAGCTGTCGAGGTTATCTCTGTATAGCAGATGCTGGAGTTGATATAGGGAATGCTTTACGACGTCAAGACTACTTCGACTGCAGCTCGCTAACGCTAGGATGTTGTAGGTATCGACGTTATTAGCGGATGATTTGCCCCACATGACGTTTTCCAGGTATGGCAAGATACCTAGCAGTAGGAACTGTTCTCTTTTCTCCCTCTGTGACCCAGCACAAGTATCCATCTCATGAATGAATTTCTCTGGATTCTCAAGAAAGAACTCAACGGTCCACTCAAAATCAACTTCTCCTGTAAACATCAACGAAACGTTTTGGCGTGAAGTTTTGTCATTGCTAATACTGCACCTCATTAACTAGAAATTTTAGAATCAACTTGTTGTGGACATTGTGTATATAAGGAAACCGACGGAAAATGATCATAGTATGAAAAGAGATCAAAATCAAAAGTTCCTTAGAGCCAACCCGTTTACATTGAATAACACTGAAATCAACAGGAGTGAAATGAAACCTCAGTTGCGACAATATGGAACTCGGAGACTCAAAGGCTAGTGCAGAATACCATTTGAAAACTGGAGAAGTGTAAAGATTTTCTCAACGAAGGCGTGATCATTCCGAAATAGTTGATTGCATGGAAAATTGTTAGAGAATAAAAATGCAAGCCAGAATGTATTCTATAAAGTTACTCGTTCGTTATTAAATTGATAAGGGAAAACTTGTTTTTGGTGCAGGGTAATATATTCGTGGGATATTTCGGAGCATTAGAAAGGGTTACTTGGTTTTCTATTTCATTACTGATCAAATTATAGTTCCTCTTACACCATGTTATTATGTAGTTTTACCTAAGAACTAAAACTTGATTTATTCGTATTCCATTGAGTACTATCATTTTAGGGATGTTCCAGCTGTGTTTACTGTTGCTATGGTTAGTTTCTTTTAGGCGTCAATCGAGATAATGAAATAAAATTGATGTCTAGTTTTTGGAAGCGCTCATCCTGGAAATAGTCATTCTGGATTCTATAACTTATCAGGATTTTGTTGTGTAATTTTTCAACCAAACCTTATTCGTTTAGTAGTCCTTTTTGGACATTGAAATACGTTTGTTTAATTAAAATTCGTATCTCGTTCGCACTTCGCACAAAGGTGCAAGGAAATGTGTGCATACCACAAATAGCACTAAGGTGTCCTTTTGAATCTGTTTAGACTCGCAAGTACGAACAGTTAATGATATGGACTAGGTGGACTTAAGATTTGAGAAAGGCCAACCCATGAACTTGGGATTGTACAATCAGTTTTGCTAGTAACATTTATGTCACAAGAAATTTATGACAACCTTTACTTTTAAACTTGCTATTATCCTCAAGTTTTGGTCAATGAAAACCAAGATTGTAACTTTTATATTGCTCACATTATCTTATTTAGGTCAACCACTTAGGAATAGTCGGTTAAAATCAAGGTGGAAAATGTTTTAGTCAACCTCGATAACCCCGAAGGAAAATATGCTAAGTAGCTTGGTACGCAGTCGCAATAGAGCCTTACTCGAACTGCGCATGACATTAAGTTAGCCTAATTGACAGTTTGGCATTGATTTGATGGATCATGTGGTTGTCCCTTGAAGAGGAAAGTGACGAGTTAGCTCCTTGTAGTTGTAATAATTGCTGTTGTCAGTCAAGAGTGGCAGTAGGAAAACGTTGTGAGTATTGTACCGAAGTCATCAATAGTGGAAATAAAAAGAGAAGTAACCAAACAAAGAGTGTTGACGTGATCGGCTAATTTCCCCAAAGGTCGCTTGAACAAGCTACCAATAACTCTTTCATTGCGCATACGCGCATTTGAATTAGTACTGCATGCCAAATAACAAGTTTAAAATTGAAATGAATCATCGCAATATTTATATTAACAATAAATTGGAGTGCAAGTTTTAGGGATAATAATTGTTTACCTTCTTGGATAAGAATGCCATTAATTGGCTCAGGGTTCCAGTCTCCCGCGCTTGTTTGTTGGTAATAATTGTGATGGCAATAACTGCCCGGAGTAGTCTTGGCGTAAACCAAATTTATTTGAGGAGATGGGTCGTTGAAATGTCGGTTTTCCTGCATCTCTGGCTCTGTATTCCTCTCAGAGGTGGAAGCTTTAGTCCCTGAGTGATTCCCGCTAGCATTGCCTTGGTAAGATAATGAACATTTTTTTAATGCATTGGAAACAGGGAAAATTATGTGGAAAGTTTCAACTAAACATAATTGTCAGAGCAAAGAGAGAAGCACGATATAAGTTTTACTATGGAAAAAGAAACTTCGCCATGACCTTTCTTGACGTAACGGTCGTTTACCATTTACTCGGAGAAACCGGTTCTTCAAGGGTTTGTGCAAATGGTAAGCAAAACTCGCTGATGGTAAGTTCCATTTGGATCGGCCATTTACCATTTACACAACAACCCCCAATTAACCAAATGATAATTCCAAGATGGCAGTGAAGGTTTGCCACATTTTCCATTCCGATATTTCGGTTGGAAACTGTGGACTACTTTTCAAGAAGTTCCCTTTTTCTGAAATTTTTCGGTCGCTCGAGTCAAAATTGCATTTACGTTTGAGGCACTGTGTTTGCTCCTACCTATAAAACACTCACCAAGTTGCAATTTTTGAAATTAATGTAATGGTTATTACATAATTCATACGGTTAAGGTTTTTTTTAACTAACTTGAAGTAGGAAAGAGTTACGATTTGAGAGATACCTCCATTTGGAGACTTTCGGACAGTCGTGAGGGCTGCATAATCACCAACGACAACATTACTGGCATGACTGACATTGATCAAAAACTGTGCGTACTTCTTCTTTTCATTTCCGTTATGGTCCCTTATGTCGCCCAATGCTGAAGAAAAAGTAAAGCAAAAGGAATGTTCACAAAGCATTTTGTCTAGTTTTTTACTGGGTCGGCCATTCCATGCACAAGCGAAGTAAACCATGTCCATACTTCCCCTTGGTCAGTATACTGCACGAGTGTAACACTTTAAGACTGAAACCTGTTGGTTCATTTTGATAAGGAGAACATTTTTTATTGCTAATTTTGTCAATTTTTTTCCTCCGTTGATTTGCGGTCTCCAGATTGCACGTTAAGAGCTAGACCAAGGAAGCAGCACCGTTACTGCCTGAACGTTCGCACTCGACCAAGATGCTTTAGTACCAGCAACTCTTCATTCAACTTCCGCCGTTGAACGGCAGACTTTCATCTATTTTCCCTATTGGCAAACGAATGAAATATTGACCGAACAGTCGTTGTGGCCCAATGGGACAGAAAAGATCGACATTCGTTTAGCATTATATGCAGCATCAATGCTTTAATGCCATGAATGACAAGTCGATAAATAAGTCATGCCGCATTCTTACCAGGAAATTCTATGACTTCATCATCAGTTGTTCCCCTCGCATCTTAAAATCGAAAAACAGAATAGTTAACTTTTACCCTTCATCCAAGCGCAGCCTCTGAACGGCAGACTTAACTCTATATCCCCTATTGGCCTGGCCTGCAACATGAGAGGCAGTGTTGCCCAATGGTCTATATACTAATACCTGATCATATTAAATTCCATGTGACGTTCGTTAACGCTATTTGCAGCATCAACACTTCAAAGCCATAACTCAAAAACAACCAATAAACATAGGCCATACTGTATTCTTACCAGGAAATTCTATGGCTTCACCATCAGTCGTGCCCCTCGAATCTAAAAGATGAATAAAATAGTTAATTTCTTCGTTGGTGTACTCGACCCTGATTCTTTAGAGTCAACAACTTTTCCTTCAGCTGAGAACGTTGGACGGCGGACTTTACTCTGTATTTCCTACAGTGAAACCTGTATTAAGCGGACCTCATGTTAAGCGGATATCCTCTATAAGTGAACGCCAGCTTGAGTTCCTAAATTTTTTTCCCACATTTACTGTAAAATAAACCTGCATTCAGCGGACACCTCTGTTAAGAGTACGCGGACACCAATATTTAGCCATTTTGTTGCACAAAACCTGCAATAAGCGGACACTTCAAGGGCTTTTTACTCCTAAAAACTTAGCTCAGGCACCTTTAACATTGTTCAGCGATGTCATTTTAAAGCTAAGTAGATTATTCCAGATTGATGCATTGACTGTCTGGACATTGTGCTATGAGCAGTCTTTGATCTTACACTGTGTTACACTGTGTTACAAAAGGGTTAATAATAAATTGTTATTGCTGAACCTGATAAGAGTGGACACCCTGCATCAGGCGGACACTAGTGAGGGTCCCAAGGGCGTCTGCTTAATACGGATTTCACTTTATTAGCAAACAAAGAACGACAACAGCACCTGCGTTTATTTTCCTTACGGTTCACAAGAAATATATAATATAGGAATACAGACCAAAGCTGGTAATTTCCAACTAGAGTAGTTATACCGAAGATAATCTAGCTGGGTGTACGATCTGACAAATTGAAGAAAAAATGTGGATATATAATGAAGACAACAAAAAAAAAAACATAGCCAGATGGTGGGAAAAAGAAAAGTGGCAGAAAAAAAAACATATATCGGACAGACAACTTATGAGTGGCGTTGTGGCTCAAAGGCCTAGATATCTGAAACATCAACAGCTCAAGCCATTTGCGATTCAATAAAATAAGCCATACTGCATTCTTACCAAGAGATTCCATAATATCATAACTTGGATCAATCGCATCTTAAAATGGAAAAGCAAAAGAGTTAGCTTCTACGAATAGATGTGAATATATAAACGATTAGGCGGATTTATCATAACAGTGTTACATGTAAATAAAATTAGTTCTTTTGTACCAAATGAGATACAAACCTTGATGGTATTACTCTTAAAGGCCTGAGAATCACCCCAAGTGATGAAAAAATATAGAAGAGCTACAAAAGATAAACGAGAGAGTCGAGGAAAAAAAACTGGCATTCCTTTGAATTTTTATATTGTCTACTACTTGGGAGGAAAAAAACGCTTAGACCGAGTTTACACTTGTTCCAGGCAACAAGAAACTAATTTACTACCCTGTTCCAGACAAAAATTGCAAAACAGTAAAGGTACCCTGTTACACATGATAACCAAAATGTTTATACTCTGTTTGGAAACAGAAAATGCCTGTTTGCACAAATCGACCTTGTTTCAGAGTCAAAACTTCCAGAGAAAAAGAGCTATTTTTATACTCTCTTCCAGAGTCAGAGAGGCAAAACGTTTTCCCTGGCATTGTGTGGTAAATATCCTATGGTACTCCTTTATGAAGTTTAATAAGCTGTAATATACCTATGATGTACATGTGTGAAGCGCCAAATGGTGAAGAGTTTGAACATTTCGACCCAAACATTGCTTGAGTTTCGTACTCTGGCCTAGAATTTGGTATGTTGTTTACAAGAAACTGCTTTACCCATTGTTAATGGTTGTGCTTGGCTGATAATGACTCCATGACACCATGGCACTTTCTAAGGTTGAGTGAGCTGTATATTGATTGGCAATGCTATCGAAAGACTGACGTTGACAGCAGTTGATCAGTCTTGATCAATCTGACATTGTAAGGACAAGATTTTTTTTT